GCGTGCCGATTACACAAAAGAGAACCCCTAGTTGTTTTGACTGCGAACATAGAAAATCAGCCGATCACAACACTCCGTCCGGAGTCCTGACCTCCTTCACGGAGTAATAAGTCTTACAAGTATTCATTTATTGTTTACCATTAACCTTTGCCAGGTTTTGATGATGATTTAAACTGATTAGCGTCAAAGTATGGCTTGTTTTGTGGCTAAGTCTTGAAGTAAGTTACATTTGCAACGTTTCTTTATATTGTTGTATATAAAAGTGTGGCTTACTTTGTGAAATGCTCATAATAAATTTCACCATTGTTTCTTTAAACATTATCATATGAACCAAAATGTGCATTTTTGGATAGAAAAAAACACAAAATACCATTTATTATTCAGAAAAACGAAGTCATCAGCATTTAATAGGCAGAGATTCGTGGCAGTTGTTAACTTACATGTTTGTACCGAATTTCAGCAAAAGTGCTTCATTTATCATGGCACAGGTGTCAGAAATCTACATTTTTAGCTAAAAACACCCAAATAATGCGAAAAAATTGCAAACAAAATGAACTGCCCTCATATCTACACTCAGATACTTCACTCAACATCGTCAGGAAACAAGCATTCCCCCACAGGTATCCCTCTATTACCATTATAAAACCGTATAAAAGTATTATCCTCTGCGTTGCTAGGGAGATGTATTTTCCTTAGCAACGGTTACCATGGAAACACGATATAAATTTCTGAGGCCCTGAAAATGAACAATTTTCCACCAATAAAAGTTTTCTTCACGTTTTACTTATGATATGCACTACATTTTACTGGGAAAGCAGCCCAGTGCCTCCTTAGCAACGGCCCTAGCAACGGTTTCCCCACAGAAGGCCTGTGGGAATAGAACTTTTAGATACTCATATCTCCAGATTGGATTGATGGATTTTTACGATTTGAAGCTTAAAATGTAGGGAACAGTGTAACAAATCAGATAAATTCATGAACTAGGCTTGAAAATGCAATCTGTATATTTGACAGGTTTTGAAAAGTAAACATTCCATTTTTTTACCAATTTTTACCGAAAAATCGAATTTCAAAACCTCATAACTTCTCTTAGAAATGACATATTGGAAAAAAATTAGACATTTTTGTAATCCTTGGTTTCTGACTTATTAGTCCACTAAGTTTAAATCTCAAAAACATCCATATTTGATTATTTTCCACTCCCCTTTGCATTAAAGTAGAAAAAGATATGGTTCGTGTAGGGTCAAAGTTCAAGGTCAGATAACAAGGTCAAAGCTGCCACTCTGCAAAGGTTATCATGCATAATGATTAACTAGAGGACCCAACCTTTCTAAAAAACTAAGTCATCCTTTGTCCCTCTGTTTGGTAACAAATTGTCATTTTTGGGGACCTGGCCCATGGACTATAAGTACAGTCAGTCTACATCGTAAAAAACATTGTCATACGTTTAAATGTATTGTGCTCACTACATGTCCCGTATGAGTGACATTGTGTCCGGTGTTTCACAGCACCACGGCATTGCCTTATAACATGCCGGCTCTTTGGGGGGACACAAGTGCGCTCATATAGGGTAATGGCACTGACAAATGGACGTTTAGAAAGCTAGGGTTTTCTGTGCATTTTGTTATAAACAATTAATGTTAACATGCTCCCCTTTAGACCATGCAATCAGAAGTCGAGAAGCAGACTTCACAAATGCCTGTGAATCTTAAGATGTTAGTTTCACAGTTACTGCAAAACAGATAAATTAGAATGTATCTTACATGTGTCTAGAATGTGTCTTATGTATGTTAAAGACGACAGTGGCACTTTAACGTTTAGACTTCACATTTTGACATGATTGATAGGTCTAGATCAAAGGTTAACATTTCCAGCCAATGCGCTTTTAGCTTGTTCACGAAGGGGCACGAGGTCGTCTTCTTAAATGAGTTATAAACAAACAAACAGGTTTCAGGTATCAGTGTGTAGAAAGCTCTCACCTTGTACCTTTTCCGTAGATTAAACCTGTGGCGAGTTATATGATTTGTTTTTCAATGGCAATTTAGAGAATAATCTTTGGCTAGACGTCAGCACTTTCCGTCCTACATGTATATCTTGGGTTACATTTGGCCCTTGACCCGACACTCTCTTCTTACTGTGTCACCGGACCAAAACAACAACAAACTTCTGTCGGCAGTTGCTCGGTAGTGGAAACTTCCACAGCCATGTGACCAGAGATAATGTTTCCGAGTCTGTCAGTGTATTTCCGCCTATTCTAACGTGACTGGATCAGTTTTAACTTTTCTTCGTAACACGTAAACGCGTCAATACGTTTAGCCTCGAATCGATCACGCTATATGCACGGGGGTTCCCCTCCTGACCATGCGGACTTCACGTGTTCCATCTGAAAGTTCTGGAACTTTAAAACGAACACCTACGTTACCATCATATGGGCCCACACGCTAATTGTAGGCAAACATGTCTAAATCAAATCATTCTTTTGAATAACTACTGATGATACACCATTCAGTTCGTCATTCGTATCTCCATCTTGATACGTACTGAATTTAAAGGTTTGTATTGTGAATGGGCTGCAAATATCACATCTATCACGTCAGAAATGTCTAAATAAAGTAAAAACAAAGCAATGTACAGGCACTTAGTACAATAGTTGTCAAGAAAGGCTAATAAGGATACAGTATAAAAATGACCACAAAAGACGCTTGGTTCAATGTTTGAAGACTATATCTTCATGTTAATAATACAATGAATGTACAAAATGTACAAAACGTCGAATTCACATCACTACTCCTGCCCATATTTACACCAGAACTGTACACTGTACATTTGGATCTCCTGCATTGTGCAAAGATAAGTAAAAGCAACGCCTCAGAGGCTCACACAATCGCAAATTACATTGACCCACAAAACAGGCTAAAAGAAGTCAACATCATCCTCTAAACTCGCAGTATAAAAGTCGCAGTATCATAGAAAATTACTTGCTTTGTCATCTGATGGCTTTGCAAGTCACAGTAACACTGATGTTTATATAAAGTCATGCTTGATCGTATAGCACACATAATACTGTAATTGTTACCCTACCAATCCTCGTTCCAGATCCCAGTTCCAGATGTTCCTACATGGCAACATAATGGCCTATGGCTTTTGTACAAAAGTTTACCTACATTACTCTAGTTACCTCGCTAATACTTTCCCTTCATCAACTAAACCTCACTTGATTCACTAAAGTCAGGTGTGTTTCTGATCTCTTCACACAGATAGTCTACAAGTCCCGCAAACTTAGTCTTAACTAGAGCCTCTAGAACGTGCCCGACAGTTAACATGTTCTCGACATTTCGAGTTTCTAAGACCTTAAACAGAGCAAGAGTCGGACTGTCTACCCTAGGATTGTTCATAGAGTCCATTTCTAGCTTCTCCAAGTGGCCTAGAGTCTCGAAGAATGTCCTCCAGTTGGGTAAGGAGGCTGCAGGGGGTATTCGGTCCAGCTGGGCGGATAGGTGCTGCTGTCGGTCATAGTTGAACCATTCGTCTCTCAATGGTATCTCTGTAACATACATGAAAAGGAAACACACAGTTTAGTATCATTTTCTTGCAGTTGTACGGGCAAGTCGTAGCAGTTAGCAATAATGTTATGAAAGATGAATCCGAACTAATAGAAACTTCGTAAGATATGTAGGATAATTGCATATATTTAAATATATATCTATACCAATCACTAAAGTATTAGTAGATTAACACTGTGTCAGGAGAATAAGAAACTCTGTATACGTACCGTGTGCACGTTGGAGGTATTTTGCAAGTTTCGTCTTGTAAAGATTGGCTGTCTGATTGCTACCACGTGTCTTCTTGGTGCTTTTATGGACTTGGGCTGTCTGACCTGATGAAACAAAAAAATTAATGTATCAACATTCTGATCATTTATTTGTCTACATCTATATCTGATGTTGTCTAAGACTCACAAGACTATATACTATCATTTGTTGAAAGTTCATCTGTGTTGGTAGTAATCATAGGAAAATGTCCAACGTTATTCCAACACATGTACAAGGGTTACACGTGTCTGTAACCGTAACTCTTACGATATCATGTTTTGAAGTGATTGGTCATTAATTATCCTTATGAAGGCGACAGTAGTCGTTGAAAATTTTATCTCTGGGTAACCCTTGTGTTGGAATAATTCAGTTCAACATTTTACTAAGACTATATACTAGTACACCATAGGACCAAAAATGTGAAAGTTGATAATATAAACAAACCTGCTAAAACAACAACAGGTGACGATGGGGGACCCTCCGAGCTCTCGGAAACCGTCCGGGTGATTTCGGGGAAGACAAAGACCTCCCCTTCCCTCCCTTCCTCGTCTTCCGTGACGTTGAAGGGAGAGGACGTGCCTTGCGGTTCTTCCGGCGTCTCTGACTTGTCCACCAACTTCTGGTTCGCATTGCTGCTGTCGGGTACTGGCCACGGGAAATCTGGTGTTGCACGAACTGTGGATAATAACAATTATTGTAAACTTAACATCCAACTTGCTAACTCGATGTGCTAGAAGACAGGAAAGCATTTCACAGGGCCGCAGCCAAAATTTGCTTATGCGATACCAGTAATTAAATAAAGGAATGAGATGACTACAAGTGATATACAGTACATGACGACATGATAATGTTTGATTATTCACACTGACAGTACTTATATGTTGAAAGTACATTATCATAGTTTATTCGTAACCTACCGCTTGCAGAAGCTGGCTGTGCAACCAAGTATTCCTGGTGATACCCAACATTATCTTCACGGCGGCTCTCACCGCTGCTGGGCCCAGAGGTTTCACGGGTCATCTCATGTGCACCGTTCTTACTTATACACGTGCCTGCAGTAGACAGAGCAAATCATGGTATCAATAACATTTTATGGTACTTAGGATTGTGGTAAACATATGTCTACTTCGCTATCCAGTTATATGTATCCAGTTGCTTGAGTAACTGTTTTGGCGTATCTTACTACCTGGATGTCTAACCTTCACCGACGTATATGTATACTTCGTACAATTTATACCTGTCAACAACCACAACTTTTGGTAACGTTACAAATTTGCTTAGAAGAAGTCTGTTTTTTCTCTAGCCCTACCTGAGCCAGTCTCTGGGTCAAGGCTGTTTGACAGTTGTGGGTTGTTTCGCCTTTTCAGCTTATCCTTGATCTTTTGTCCCAGACCGTATCTAGCGGACAGAACGACTGTGACGAGTAGCAGGAGCATGACAGCCCCAAACGCCAGGCTCCCCGCTACCATGGCGTAAGTTGCAGTCGAGTCCAGATGATGGGTTTGCTTCCGTGACACCTCCTCTGCTGTTTCAGGAGCTACGGAGGAGTAGAGCTTGTTAGTAAACGTTGGTAAACTTTGTCAATATCACTACCTCGGTAACTATGTACATACTAGGAAACTTACCAATGTTAGTAACCCTATTATTGTATAATGTAATTCTGATAATTTGTGTATAAGTGTATAATCCAACGTATGTATATATATATATTATTGTAAATTTGACCGTGTATCTTATTAATTGTTTTTGTATGTATACCTGACGATTTTATTTTGACCCTTAGCAATAGTCTACGACTAGTTGGGCAACCCTGGCTGTTGTAAGCTGAACTAATAAATAACTTGTTAGTACGTATAATAATCAAGGAATGAAACAAACACATACCATACTGAAGGCACTGAACTCAAGCCAAAGATGCATATTAATCAAATAAAGTGCACAGCTAGAAATTTGAATAAACCGCCTGATTTGCTCAAGATGTCGCTTGATGAAATTGACTCTTACCTGGGGTTTCTTTCTTGACCTCGACCTTCACCGGGCAGTCGGAGTTGTTTGCCCTGTCCTCGTCACAGTGAAGGCAGTGTACTTTATTATTCGTAGTAGCTACCGCAAAGTACCTGGAAATATGAGCAAGAAACGTCAGCCTAGCTGTCAGTCACACGATCACATGACAAAGATACAAGAGATGATATTTTTAGTTGTTATGAATAGAAATTATCGTAAAAGTGGTTTAAATATCAGTACACTGAAAACTGTGCAAATATGAGTTTGAAAACCATACGAAAGCTAAGGATTCATTATTCAAAAACATACACTATGTTAACGTAACTGGCTTCAAGTGAATAACCAACTTACCCTTCTAAACATCCACCGCAAACTGTTTGTGAAAACCTGTTGCAAGGTCTGACGGTTTTCTTTCCCTGGACGTCACACAACACACAGGTCTGCTCCACACCGTTCACACAGGTGTATCCCTCCGCTAGAGGGCTACAGTCTTCGCACACCATATCCTGCCCGGACCCGCACGGTCTCACTAGTCTCTGTCCGGCCTCACAGCGCTGCATGGGTACAACAACATACAAATATTGCTTCACGTACAAACATTTTTGTCAGATTCCAATCTAGTTTTTTTTAATGTTTACCGAAGGAAAGCATGTCGTTTTTGCTCTGTTTCCTCTTCTTCCGTTCCAAACACAAAAGGTCAATGACCAGAACCAGACGTCTGTCACCATGGTAACTGGTGTTGGGTTACATCATGTTGCAATTTTATAGCAGGAGGACTCCTGTCACCATATATATGAATGTGTTTTAGTAAGAATTAACAGAGTAGACCATATGTGAAGGTAAACATTATGCATTTGCTTTGCAAATGTTACCTCAACCTGCGATACTTACCCGGTTAGGACAAATTTTACATCGTCCTCCGTCAAGATACTCCCATTCCTTGCATGTATTTGCAGCCTTGACCGTAGCAGGCATAAAAGCTACAACCTGTAAGGAAAAGATGGAAAATTCTGTAAGTTGAAGCTTCAAAATCATGAACAGCCAAAGATAACAGAAGTATGTTGTTACAAGTTCCCTGAAGAACCACCTTCTTTAACAACGCTAAGGAGAAACGATAGAAATCCGATGCAAATCGGGCTAAGCAGTATGAAAGATGATGATGAAAACCCGGTAATTTGAAGCTTCAAAATTTAACTGCTAATATGCAAAGACAACTGAAGTTTATTTTTAGATTCCGCAGAAACCTCATCATTATGAGTTAAAAGGAGAAACACACGTACCAGTAAACATGTGAAGAATATAAGATGTTCTAGTTTCCACCCTGTGAGGTATATTCTCGACTGTCGTTGTCGTCCGTTCGCAGTGGTTGTCAGAGAATGACGAAAGGCGGGACAGCTCACAGACGACATCTTTGTGTATCTGAGAGAACAGGCGAATGTTTCACGTTATGGTTACGGTTCAAAGTTGGATTTTCATCATAACATCCACTAGGCCTTCCTACGGGGGGTACGGATCCTAGAATTCGGTGAAAAGGGGGAAATAGTTGGCCAGGAGAGTCAGTCCGCGAGAGGGTTAATTTTCCCTAGCCTCTACCAGGCTTGAGGAGGCGGCTGGAAAGAGTAGAAATCGGCCAAAATAGAGAGACAAGCATGCCAAGGGAGTTTGGCCGTTGAGAGAACAGTTCGCCGCCCCACAAACTGTTCTCTCAACGGCCAAACTCCTTTGGCATGCTTGTCTCTCTATTTTGGCCGATTTCTACTCTTTCCAGTCGCCTCCTCAAGCCTGGTAGAGGCTAAATTTTCCCCTCTGAAGCGGGCAACTGAACTCTACGCTGGCTAAACTCCCCTAGTCAATTATTCTCCCTACTGGCTAAATTTTACTTTATCTGTACCCGCGTTGTTGGAGACTAGGATTTTCAAATTTCCCGCCAAGTCTACGAGTTACCTGAAGTACACCGGAAGAGCCCAATTAATGGCACCACGAGTCAACAAAATTGACACGCCCCATTACACCCCGTGACGTAGACACCTGCCGTATCACGCGATATCACATGTCGGCACCTAAACCAAAGTTTACTTTCTGGCGAGGATAACCGCTTATCTTCATTCCAACAACATGCCAAGAGGAAAGAAAAACAAATCAGAACTTCGATTAGAAATTGTACACCGGAACACAAGTAATTCTGGTGTGTCAGTGTGAGCATGACTACACTTTGTAGGGCCTAGGGAACAGTTTCGTAGGTCGTTTGTATTTTTGGTCACACGTACGTTACAGAGGTAGGTATTCCTCGTCGGTTTTATTGTAGTATTACTTCGGGATTACTTTGTGTTACTAGTCTAGATATTTGATAAACTTAGGGAATCGTGATTTCTCTCAAATAAGAGGATCCAACAGAAAAGATGTAAGAACATCTTGTACCCCAAAATTAAGGACATGGAGCTTTAGACCTTTTATAGTCTAATTCATCTGAAGTTACACGATTATGGCCGGGCCAATCCACTCAAGGTCACCCAAACGGTGTACATTAAAAGTTTCAGAGTAGCGTCAGTAAATGAAATAAATCTCATCCTCCAGCTTTTCACTATGCTAAATAGTATAATTTCAGTTAAACATTGTTGGCAAGATGTGAGTAATAGAACATAAAATGAACAATGCTACCAGAAATACGTCAATTGACTACAGAGTTTCGGAATTTTCAACAATGTATAAGACAACAGAATACACCTACCTACTACACCATCACCCACGGAGAGGAACTGACCAGATTTGGGCTTCGCCGGCTGCCCAACCCCCTTCGCCCTGTCCCGACTTCCGGCCGACGTCACTACGAAAACAAAGATAAGGAACCTAACCCGCCTCCTACGCAAAGGTGTGGAACAATGCCGATCTCTCCTAGGTGATTACGGCTCGTGTTAGCACACGGGTGTACGTGTGTGCTGGTATTTGGTCTCTGATCGGCCATTTGACGTCAAAGCGTTTTTACCGATAACGTATTACCCCTGACTTCTTCGAATTTTGGCCCAACTTTTGCCCCAACTCCAAGCACTTTCTCCTACTTCCGGGTTCTTAATCATAGCCCACAGCGTCATAGCCGAGACGTAAAAGGATAGGCTCGTGTGTTGCATCTGGACCTTGTTATGTACAAAGATTTAGAAATACCGACCATGCTTAAGGCCATGTGTACTTTTAAAACGCGTACTTTACAAGTAAACTTTACATGTGTTCAGGCTGGTTCCATTGGCGCTGAAATATATTGAACTTTCCGGCAGTCATTACAGGTTTGCGATAGCAAAACCTGTTCTATTTTACCTGGATTTTATGGGCGCCGCCATTTTGTTTCCCGTCATGCAATGGGGCAGGTCAAAGTTGAGTGAGGTGCATTGTGGGACCTGTCACAGGCCTACAGTGTAAGGACGACACCTAGCGGTATGTTTGGAAAGAGCAGTAATTGAAAGCCTACCTGGTTGTGTGTTCATTTTGGCAGAAGTGTATAGAGGCGATGGCTTTGACGTAATAAAGGCGAGTCTGATTGTGTTTAGCACTTGACGTAATTTTCTTAGCATGACGGGAAGGAAACTTGGCGGACCTAATGCGGCGGAA